AAAAAAACAGAAGCATCAAATATACTATTAATTTATTGATTTAACGCAAATATATTTTAAAAATTCAATATTTTGGCTTTTATATATATATATTTTTTTTACAATACGAGGGTACAATTTACTGACAATTTCAAGAGATACTAAAAGAATTTGTTGTTTGATCAAACTTTGTATTAAAATGTACAGAGAATACTTTCAAATTTTGGCAAGACCCAATTTTGTTGCTCACTTTAAAGTGTCTCAAATAAACAATTTGTTGTGACAGCCGCGCGCGTTAGAGATTAAGTTTTCAGATTTATAACACTTATAACAAAGAATTTGCTTGTTGATCGAATTTGATATTCAATTTATGTTAAATTTCAGAATAGCATATACTTTCGAAATTTCAGACAAAACCTGATCTTGTTGCTTATCCTAAGAAAATAAGCTTATCCTCGGAAATAAGCAATTTATCGCGACAGTTACGCGTAAGAAGTTTGACTTTCGACCCTTATATTTACAACAAAAGAATTTATTGTTCGGACAAATCTAGATACTCATACATAATCATTAAATAATTAAAATTTAATGCTATTAGTATTATGTATACATTTGATGTAAGATGTGATTGTATCTTCAAAATAAGGAAGTTTTTGAATAAGTTTAATATCTGAAAAATAATTATTGGTACATATAAAAATTAAGAGTCACGTTATCTTTAAAAAATTTTTCATATCATTAAAAAAATTTGATAATTGTGCTGTATAAAATATTTCTAATATAATTTCTCTATTAATAAAACAGTCAAAATTACTTTTTTAAAATAAAAAATGAAAAAAGTAATAGAAAATTAGTTTTCAAGACTGCAACTAATAATGTCACAATTTAAATAATTGTGAAACAGCAGAAATTGCTGTTTCGCTCGATTTCTGTTAAAAGGCTAACAACAGAAGACATCTGTTCGATTTCTGCCGCCAATTTGACAGCAGGTCATGTCAATAAGTTCTGTTTAATTTCTGCCACCAATCTGCTACCAATCTGCTACCTGAATATATTCAGGTTTTATAAGTTTTGCTAGTAGAAAACCTAAGCTAAATACGGACGCAATCTGTTGACATGTTCTGATTGAATCTGCTGGCACAGTCTGCAATACCGCCATATCGCTAATATTTTGTTTATTGAACAATATGAGCAAATTTTCATGTATCTTTTTGTATCACATTAGATATTTAAGCTTAATTCTAAGAAAGAAGATTTAACATTGCTCTTCATGTAATCTACTAGTTCAAATTACTAGTACTAGTTTTGTAAATAGAGATTGACTACGAAATTTTATAAATATAAAGCAAATATTGATACAACTTGACAGCTCTGGATGTTACTAAAGTAGCAAAAAAGATCTAAATTAAAAAAATTTTCGTGGTCTTGACACGAATTCCATGGTAGACACATATATTACTGACTGTAAACTTTAATTGTGAGGAAGGATTGTCAAATCTATAAAAGGTACTATGTAAAAAAGATTGATCCGAAAAATACTGCATTGTGCCGGTTCGGATAGACGAATTCAGCTCGTTCTCTTAAGAGTTGGAAATAAAAAAATAAACGATATATGAATGCGCAAACAAAAATCTATCGATTAAGACTATCTTTATTCTCTTTGGACATCACGTATTTGGATCCATTCTATATACATATATTGTATTAGTGTTATAAGGTTATAAAGTATTATAAGGTGTTCTTTTTAAAATTATTATAGCCAAACATTCTTTTTGTAGTTTTTATGATTTGTTGAGGCTTTTACAACATATATAATTTATATTTTTTTATTATTTATAGGGGGGTGCGTGCTGCTGTTAGTTGATCATCAATCTGATGGTGAGTTGCTGCACCATTCTTGCCTATCTCCTGTACCCAATACGTACAACGTAATATACGCGTGTACTTCTTTTTATAATTCAAAGATTAAATTTCAAAGAATAAGTTTTGCAAGAGAAGAGGCTTTCAGAATTAAGCTAGGAATATGTATGTTTTTCGAAAAACAGATAGTTCTTCTGATTAATCCTGAATATAAAATGGTTACACATAATTATTCAATATTGTTTTTATTTCTTATTATTTTTTGAGAATATAAGAAATTTCTATTGAATTTCTATTAAATTTCTATTATTTTATAATATGTTTTTGTTATAATATATATTTTATTTTGTGAATTTTAATATTATATATACATTATTTCGTTGTAAACGAAGTTATTGATATATCTTAAAAATATAATGGCGTGAAACATAATGATTTAGATGACTGTTTTTCTTTTATTAATTATCTGTAGATATAAATGTGCACTTATTCATTTCCATCGACAGAGAGACCACCATCTTTCTGGAGTATCGGTCGTGAGGATTCGAGAATTTATACATACATATATGTAATATACATATGTATATGTGCATATATGACATTGTATTGTTTAACGTGTTGTTCTAAACACGGTTATTGCGAAAGATATCACCATATGCCTTAGTAGTCGAAAGAATAAGATACCTGCACGGGATAAGCAGGGGATCCAGAGTCGATTCCTAGCTGGTGATATTTTTCGAAAAAATAATAATGACGAATTTTCACGACTGATTTATGATCGATTTATGATCCGTGCCGTGACGTACACCTTCCCTTCTTATTTTGGGTTTCAGATAGAAGTTGCAACACTTGTTTTGCAACACATATATGTATACATATGTACGCGTATGTATGTGTGTATAATTCTATTAACTTTCTTTGTATAAACATTAGCATTTTTTGAAATATTATTTTTTAATTATTTTTTAAATTTATTGAGCAATTGATTTTCTTTTTTGACAAAGTTTTTGCAATAAATGAACATCCAATAAAAATATTTATTAGAATTGATTCTGTTCTTGCTAACTTATCAAATGTATGCAAATGATATGATAAGGGATATACCTGTCATTGATAAGGTAAGAACTATATTAAACAAAAAAATGAAAATAAAAGCAAGATATAACAGAATATTTATGTCGCAAAACAAGTGTTACAACTTCCATCAAGTATACTGAACCCAAAGTAAGAATAATATATATATATATATATATATATATATATATATATATATATAA